TGCGGAACAGGCGCTTAATGTGGGCTGAATAGGGCTCTGATAATATACCTATGTATGACATTATATTCATATATTGTTTCCAATATATTTTTGTACCGTCCGTAATTGGTCTTTCACATCCATTTTCTTCGAAATACCTACTGCTAAAAAAAATTGGCAAGTGAAAGTTGTGTGATAGGTGCACCGCACCAGATTTTTTTTTGAGACTATTTGAAAGTTGTCAGCTACACATTGCGATCCACGATGTGTTATCTTATATATCTTGCCACTTTGTTATCTTACATATCTTGCCACTGTGTTATCTTATATATCTTGCCACTGTGTTATCTTATATATCTTGCCACTGTGTTATCTTACATATCTTGCCACTGTGTTATCTTATATATCTTGCCACTGTGTTATCTTATATATCTTGCCACTGTGTTATCTTACATATCTTGCCACTGTTATCTTATATATCTTGCCACTGTGTTATCTTATATATCTTGCCACTGTGTTATCTTATATATCTTGCCACTGTGTTATCTTATATATCTTGCCACTGTGTTATCTTATATATCTTGCCACTGTGTTATCTTATATATCTTGCCACTGTGTTATCTTATATATCTTGCCACTGTGTTATCTTATATATCTTGCCACTGTGTTATCTTATATATCTTGCCACTGTGTTATCTTATATATCTTGCCACTGTGTTATCTTATATATCTTGCCACTGTGTTATCTTATATATCTTGCCACTGTGTTATCTTATATATCTTGCCAGTGTCCACTTGTATAATGATTGTAACTGGAATAAAACCCTCGAGTCCATGTTCTTGTTTTGCCGTTGACTTCAGAAACCTTCCAGATCTTGGGCCCGCCTCAACGGGTTCTCTCCGCCTTTCCCTATCTTGGCCTAATGCTTCCCAGTTATCCGCATGCAGCGCTCCAGTCCCATTGTTGATTCCGTCTACCCACCAGGCTTTTGTTCTTCTACTTAGACGGTAATCGTTAATCAATTATTAAACATTTATAATTTTCATTATTGCTTCCTCACAACCGAAGTTAGGGAAGCATTGTGCTCGTACGAGAGGTTAAAAAACATTTTGTGCTCAGAATAGAAAATTTCCACTCGCGTTTTGTTCCAGACATTAAGGATCAAATTTGGTTCGGTGTCTGTCTGTAATCGATGTGACAGGCATGTCACCTAGTACCGTTCATCCGATTCTCACGAACCTTCCTTTTTCATTTTCAGAGTTTATGCGGATTGGTGCCTAGATGGTCCCATATCAATATTATCAAATTCCATTCATCACTTCCGCTTACGCACACGCAAACTTATTTTATCAGATATGCCAATTTTTAGAAAGGACTCGTTCGATTTGGCTCAACGTTATATAAAAGGTAGGTAATAGTGAAAAATAACGTAATGTCAATTTCATTGAATTCGGTCCACTAATTTCTCGTATATATGCGCAAACCTGTTTTCCTTGATACGTCTATATCTTTAAACCGCATGTTCGATTTGGTTTAAATTTGAAGGGAAGTTAGGGTAAAGTAAACAGATTATCAAATAGATATTAATTTTATCAAATTCTATCCAGAACTCCTAGAAAAAATACTTTTGCTTTCGGATCTGCAAACGTATTATTTGGCAAGCCTATTGTTTGAAACCTGCGCATTCAATTTGACCCATACCCGGAGCAAATTTGGAGAATACTATAGAAATTTCCTAATTTGAATTTCATTGAATTCCATTTAATAATTAAAATTAATATGAATAATTAATTGTTAACCATATAGTGACAGTAAAATGTGAAGGCACTGATCATATGGAGTGGGAGTTAGGTTATGACAATATTTTTATGGGGTTATAAAATTATAGGTTTTATTCAAAGAATTAATTTATATTGTATTGTTTCGTCGATTCCAAACGTTACATAGATTTCGTTTGATTTTCAATAAATTTAGATTAATTCTTACCCTAAGTTTGTAAAAAATAAAAGTAGTCGTATTTATGATTATGTTTATTTCTGTTGAAGTTAAACTAGCTCATCGTGGTCTCGATTCCATCCTTAAACACCAAAGTTGTGAGAACTTCACTTATATTTTTATATTCCAACTTAAATTAGTTTTGTTCTGACTGAAGAAATATTGGTCTCGTCAACTCCGTACAAACAAAAAGTTGAATTATTCCTTTGGATTTTTTGTTCCATCCATTTTACGTGAGAAAACATAAGTATATATAACTGCTGTTAGTGTAAGGTGGTATGTGAAAATTTTCAATTTTATTCTACATTTGACATTTTGTAGTCTGTAACAGATATATTTTTCATTATTTATAACATATTTGTATCTCTGAAGATCGCCCATGTTTATTAATAGTTTAGTTTTTTTTAAAAAAAAGTAGTTTGATTATGTCTTATCTGATATCTATCAAGTTAATTTTATCGATAGATTATTGTTATCGAAGAAATTGAGGAGGTATAAAATATTTCAGTTTCATTTGATATGAAGCAAGGTTTTTACAAAATACAGTTTTCTCGTTTTAAAAAATAAAACATAAATTGAAAGCAATATTTTGAGTTTTTTTTTGTTTTTTTTCCCTTACCCTCCAAAATGTTTATTGAAACAATTCAATATTTTGAGACGTAATTCTATCTAAGCTCAAGAACTTTATAATTTTAAATGAAATGAGAGTCTTATTTCACCTTTCGTTGGGACATACAATTTTCAAATTCTATCTGAAATTTTTCCAAAACTAAAAAAAAACATTAGCAACCGTTAATACTTTATTCCTACTCAGTAATTAATAATAATAAAAAATAATTTAAACTGACTTGAATTGTTGCTGAAATAGGTTTTATTTACAAATTTGAGTAAATTATAAGAATATAGTTAAGATTATAGTTTCTTAGACTTTTAGTGTGTTATCCTGGTATAATCCATTAACATGCTACCATATTTGCAATTGTAAAAAATAGTTTAGATTCTAATTTACACCAAATGAATTTACGTTTTATTTTTTTTAATTAGAAGCAAATGTATTGTAATTTTTTGAAAAAGATATTATTGTTTATATTTAATTATTTTTTTTTAGAAAAGAAAATGACTATCTATATGTTTATTCCAGACATGCCATAAAATCTTGATGTATATATTGTTATATACAATCTATTGGTAAATTGATCCTAGAGCCGTGGGTTCTCTGCTGACATTTCATCCCGCTTAAAATCCCCATGCACTATTCTTACCCACATTTATAAATCTCCTATTCCAATTACCCTTCACAATTCAATCAAGCGCTGGCAAATTATTTATTATTTAATAAGGTTTTAATTTTCTGTATGCATTCGTTTATTTATTTATTTTCTTTTATGAATATGGAAAAAATTTCCTATCACTTGGTTGGTTGAAATATTGGCAGGATGTACAATAAATTTCTATTTTTTTACAATAACGTTACGAATATTCATTCATTTAAAAGAATGAGAAAAAAAATATGATTTTTAACTCACCTGTATAAATAAATTAAAATACTATACAGAAACAATATAGGTTTTATTTAACTTAAGTAATAGACCATTGTACGATTGATCAAAGTTTATAAAACCTATCGCTTTGGATTTGCAGAAAAAATATGCAATAAGAATGGATTGATATAGATACCGCATCGTATGTAGGGAGTAATAGGATAACAAAGTACCAATATTGCTAGTGGTAATATCGTCGAGACCATGTCATGTTAAAGTAATGAAATGTGCTACGTCAAACTCACTTCAATTCGTTACTTTAAAATGGTGCCGACGATATGTATGTAGCCATTACCAAGTCTATTTTTACTACTGTGATATCAAAATTATGAAAATTAATATCTCCTGCAATCATTAGTTGATAAACGATAATATGTTGTTAACATATATTGTACTTTTAAGCTAGATTAATTTAATGTATTTAGAATGTTTTCTGATATTTGTAACTAAATTTAGCACTCTTCTCTGAAATAATGGTTGCTGTCTTGAAATTAATATTAAAATTATATAAAATAGGTCCTTGGCCCCGGATGCTAATTCCACCTAGCAGACGGACTCCCGCTGAGAGGGGACTTGTAGGGGGCCGACCCGCCTGCATGGTTAATGCGCCAATGCAAAGCGCTCTCTGGTTTAGTGCCCCTAACCACCCCACCGCATCTCGATATCTTTCAATCGCGATTGTGAAGTAATCGATTCCATAGGCCACTGTCGGCCGACCTATCAATTTATGTTTAGATATTAATCCGTTGGCCAGTAAGCTATCTGTACCAGGGTACCTGTAACTAGCCCCCCCCCCCCTGGCGCAGCCAACTGCTCTCACTTCCTGGCTACTTCATTAAACACTCAACAAACGCTACAAACATCCCTATTTATCATCAGTCTTAGAGAATCACTCGCTTACTGAAGACCTCATCGCGCGCTTCTCTCTTAATATATCAACCTAATAAATATTCATAAACATTCTTGCTAAAAGTACTTCTCAGATAGTTAGCATAGTTACCAGGCAATCGTATAGTGTTCATATTACAGTATAGTGTTTCTATTAGCCAATAATAACGTTAATATTAATAGAACAAAGTGTCCGAGAGGGCAGCTGAGTCGGAGTAGTGGGGGCAAGCCTACAGGTATCGCCTTAATCAAGGCAGCCGCCATCCGAACAATAGGTTGGCTATTGTTATTGTTTTTATTTCGTCCGCTTCATTTAAATTGCGCTATTTAAAGTAATATCAATTATCATTAAAATGGTTAGTTGTAAATCATGTGGTAAAACGGTGGCCCGAGAAGAAAAGGCTAAATTAGCCTATAATACATGTACAAATATATTCCACGCGAAATACGTGAAAATCGTTAATCTAGACTCAAAAGGCCTAAAAGAGATTGGCAAAAACTGAACATGTACCGATTGCGAGTCACGTACAATAAAAGCCTCTGAGCCCAGCACAATGATCGGCCTACTGAGGTCGTTGAACGAGGAAATTAAGGAGATGAAGACAAAGCTTCAGGGCATAGAAGAATTGAAGGATATCAAAGACATCCTCAATAAACAGTCAGAAATGTTCTTCGAAAATATAGAACGTCTGTTAAAAATAGAAACGCTCCTCGAGGAACAGAAAAATCAGGTAGAAACATTAACACTCGAAAATAAGACGCTGAAAAAAAAAAATATCAGAGCGGGAAAGCCGTATGAATCGTTTAGAGCAGAATCGATTAAGAAATAAAATAGAAATTCGAGGAATTGCAGAGAAGCTGCGAAACTGTGACTGGGACCATCCTTAGCGTCGGAGCGGGTCTCGGCTTCAAATTGAGCCCAGGCGATCTGGATCACGGAGTGAGGCTTGAGCCCAAGCAGGAAGGGATCCAGGCCCTATTATCGCTCGGTTTGTCAAGCAAACAGTGAAAGATGAAATGTTGCAGCAAAGAAGAACGAAGAGAGACTTCTCTACACGCCATCTGGGCTGGGGAGAAAACGATTCGCACAGGGTGTACGCGAGCGAAATTATTACATGCTTATATTTTTTTTGCTGCTATGTCAAAAATGGAATTTTTGTTAAAAAATTGTAATATCCTATTCTCCGTCCTTGATCCTTTTCCCTGCAATTCTACTTCCCAACATCTCAGTTATGACTAATATCCTAAACTCCTGTCACGTCACTGCTCAATCGCTTAATGCCCACTTTGATGAATTCCAAAAATATTTCTTCGATAATTTTTACCACACAATAGCAGTATCTGAAATCTGGCTGAAACCTTTTATTCCTTCCTCCCAAATTTCCGTCCCCAATTACTCTTTCCTACGTCATGACAGACCTGATCCCACGGGAGGTGGTGTCGGACTATATATACATAATAGTCTCTAGGCCAAAATCCTCTTACAGTCTCCTTTTCATGACCTCCCTCACGTTGAATATTTATTTGTTGATATTACCTCTATTTCCTCTCCTCTATTGTATGTTGTTGTCTACCGCCCTCATCTATTGGCGTTCTATTTACCAACTCTTTGAATCCTCCCTTGTCAACCTGGTTTCCTCCTACTCCAATATCATCATCTCCGGCGATTTTAATGAAATATGCTCTCAGAAGCTCCCGACAAATACTTCCTCAATGGCCTAATTTTTTCTCTTAATCTTCATCTTGTACCTTATTCTCCCACTCATCACACTCAGTTCTCTGACACCTGGTTAGACCTCCACATCTCTGACTCACCCCTTAAAATCCCTTCCTCCTCTCAACACCCTGTACCCTTTCTATCATCACACGACCTGATCCAAATCTCGTACGACCTGCCCGTGAAATATTTACTCCCAAAATAGTGTCATATAGCAATTTAAATCTCCTTTCACATGAATCCCTTCAACCTAACCTTGATTCTGTCCACTGGGATACCATATTTTCCTATACCTCCATTGACCCTATGATATCCACCCTTACCTCAAACCTACAATCCATATTAGACATCCATGCTCCTCTGAAAACCAGTATCTTGCGTCGTCCCACTGCTGCTTGGCTGACTCCTGAAATAAAGGAAATGATGAAGAGAAGGAATGCAGCAAGGCGCAAATACCGCCAAACCCGTTTTCCTGCTAATTATGCGTCTTTCAAACAACTTCGCTAATCCAACTACTTCCATAATGCCCTTTCAAATGTTCCCGATTCCAAATCAAAATTGAAATACTTCGTAATCTATCCCAACCAGAATTCCACTGACCTCATTTACCTCCCTGTGACTCCAGATGATCTTAATGATCATTTCATATCTTTTTCTTCTAATCCTTCTCCTACTCATGATATTGAACACCACAATTTCAATTCTGAAAACTTCTTTTTTTCCCATGTATCCTTCGACGAAGTACTTTCCATTATCCTAAAATATGTATCCTAAACACCAATGATTATGGTCCTGACAATATTCCAGTAAAACTAATAAAATCCAGCCTTCCTACCCTTATTCCAGTACTGTATCACATATACAACTTTTCATTGCGAAATTCCATATTTTCTTCTTCCTGGAAAACTGCACTAGTCCGACCTTTGAATAAGACATCTAACCCTTCCTCACTGAATGACTTCCGTCCTAGTTACCTTCTTTCCAACCTCCGGAAAGCCTTGTTCAAAATCAACTTTCCAACTTCCTAGAAGAACATTCCCTCAACAATCCATTCCAATCTGGCTTCCGACCTGGCTATTCCACGCAATCTGCCCTTCTTTAAATAACCCATGACCTGCAAAACTCCATTGAACACCAAAACCTTACTAACCTCATCCTTCTAGATTTTTCCAAAGCGTTTGATACAGTTGACCATAACATCCTTTTTACCAAATTGCAAAATCTTTCTCTATCCAACAGTGTCCTGCGTTGGTTCAAATCCTTCCTTTCCGATCGATCCCAGTATGAAGTCGTCCCAGGTCAACCTCCTTCAAAGATACTTCCCCTCTCCTGTGGTGTCTCTTACTCTGTTTGCTATTTACATTAATGACCATTCCCTCCTGATCCATCACTCCCAATATCACACCTATGCTGACGATTTCCAAATATACCTTCCCTTCCCCCTTCGGACCTATTAGCCGCCACAAAAAAGCTTCAAGATGATTTAAATAGAATATATGACTGGGCAGGAGCTAACAAGCTGAAGTTGAATGCGGAAAAGACCAAGGCAATCCTAATAGGCTCCAATCACCTCCTCAAAACTTTTTCTGACATTCCAACCTTGCTCCTACATGATAATCCCATCAAATGTTATCCCACCATCAAAAACGTTGGAATAATCTTCGATCAAACCCTTTCCTGGAAAACCATGTATCCAATATTTCCCGACATACCTTTTCCATACTAAAACTCTTAAATAGCCTGCGACACCTCTTTCCTTTTGAAATCCGTAGACTCCTGGTTACCTCCTTAA